AAAATAAAAATACGCATGAGTCAAGGTGCATTAAATATAAAAAATTTTGAATTACATGATCATAAATTTCAGCGTTTAATAAATGCCTTGTTAAAGTTTTAAAATAGGCATTTACGTCTTTTTATATTAACTGTATACTTTTTTCTAAAATATTTTATTCTATATACTTTTTTTCAATTATGTCTAATACTTTTTATTACATACGTGTGTTCGTTTCGGCTGTGTAAATGTTTGAAGCTAAGCCCGCCCAAAAAAATTGGGCTCAGTCCTTGTATGCCCACTCAAACAAACAAAAGGAAGTTTGGTCCACCCACCAATTATGGACATGAAGGCTAAAACTAAAGCCTTTTGCCCGTTGTTCCTCTCGTGGAGAAATAAACAAACTTGAGAATTGAGACAAAGAGGAGCATAGTGAAAAAATAGGTAGAATAGAGAACCCATTTTTATTGATAAGCTACAAACAGTTGTTGTTTCCATATTGAACTCTATTTCCCATCTCTACTGTCTCTTCTTGTCATGTTTTGCTTACCCATTCAGTAACTGCAATCTCGCTTTTTTGAACGGAAGTCTCAGCTTCCATTTTTTCTGGGTCTCGATTTCGATTACTCCATCTACATGTTTTTGTGGGTTTAGTTGTGTAAACCAGTACTTGGGAAAATTGCAAGATGGAAAGGAATAAATAGAATGGGGTGGGAGGGGAGGAGTACAAATCTTTACATCTTACAGGATTGTCGCTAGTGTTTTTTTTTTTTTTTTTATTATTTTTTATTCTGAGTTTGAAAAAATTAATTGAACTATTTGAGCATTTTAACCCTAATTTTTTTTTTTGTATAGATAATAGAGTTATCATGCAATATTTTTAAGATATAAATTGTAAATAGTTATAGTTATCCTCATTTTTTGTAAATGGGTTTTATTGGATTTTTTTTGTATATTTTTCTTTGTTTCTACATTCCATGTATATCGATTTTTGTATCAATGTGGACCTTGTCCAGACCACCTTCAATTTTTTATCATTAATTGAAGCACATGAGTTGAATGTCATGAATTATTTCAATCATTACAAAGAAAATATCAAAATATCGTGAATGCCATGAAGTTAGTTGAAACGTCCAAGCTACAACTCCAAATAATGAAGGAGACTGAGTGGAGTTATTTGCTTGATGACTTTTCTTTCTTTTGTGACAAAACATGATATAATTGTTCTAAATATGGAAGATAAATTTCAAGCTCGAGCTGTCAATGTATAGCCAAGGAATGAAAAACCTAGCTCTTTAAATTGTTATTGATATACAACTTAAATAGCTAAATGATCGTTTCACTTAATCAAACACTGAATTACTTCTTTGTGTAGCATGTCTAAGTCCATCTAATTTATTATTTGCTTTTGACATGAAGAAGTTGATTTGTTTTGTTGAATTTTAACAAAATAAATTTTCTTCAATAGAGTTCATGAGACTTTTTGATCAACTTGACAGTTATATTGTTGATGTGTGCTCTAGCATTGAGTTCGCAAACTTGTCAGGAATTGGTGATCTAGCTAAAAAAAATGATTGAGGCAAAAAAATACGTGATATGCTCACTAATTTACTTATTTATGACTTTTACATTGATATTACCAATTACACATGTCATTGATAAAAGAACATTTTCAACGATGAAAATTGTGAAGACTAAGTTACGTAATTGAATGATTAATTAATGGATGACAGATAATTTGATTATTTATATAGAAAAAGATATTTTCGATAGCATAGCTTATAAATGGTTGAAATTAGTCTCATTTTTTGTAAAGGGTTATAATTAATTTTTTTTTAGTTATTTTTTAATTGCATGGAATATATATACCGAATTAAGACCCTTTTATGTTTTATGAATTATTAAGCATTAAATATGGTATAAAAAATATAAATATATCACATTATTTTTTTTATTAGAGAATAAAATAAAATTTGTAGTTAAAATTTACCCACCATTGTGTGCACGAGCGGTTGATGGGACAATAGACAACTGTATATTGTTCTCCTACCTAAGTCTATAGTTGGTAGGCTAAATCCCAAATAGAACAACGCGAGCCCAGGGAAAGAAGTAGAGTCTAGCAACATAGAGCGTCAAAATAGGAGTTTTTATTTAAATTCCTACTCAATTCGATGCTATAAAGAGAATTTAAAGTTGAGTATTAATAGAAGTAATGCCCCAGAGAACGAAACAAAAGCATTCACAAAGAAGGAAGAAATAATGTAAACGAAAAAGAAGGTACAACCATTACCAATTGCTCAATGAGATTCGTACAGATGAATTACCGAAAATCTATATAATAAAATAGTTTATATTTTAAATTTTATTTTAATCATATTTTTTTTCTTAAAATCATCATCAATCACTTACCTTACATATCATCTCTCTGTCAGATTCAAACGTCAAGTCGCATCACTTATTTTTATTATATGTTTAATTATTTATATATAATATAATTTGTAGTTAATATAATTTTTATTTTAAACATTATTCAGATATAATAGTATACACATGTTAAAAAATTTAATATAATAAAATTAATTTTTTAAATATTTAAATATTATATTTTATCGTACATTTAAGCACGGATTAAGTTAATAAGGAAAACTCTAAAAATATCTTTTCGATACTATTTTTCTATTTTGGGCTTAACTTTCCAAATATATTTGAGCAAAATTAGTTTTCATTTTTGCGAAACTGTTATGCAAACAGCGCCGAATGTGGGCCCAAGATAAAATGGGTCCCACCGCTCACACCAAAACGAAGACACATGGAAGATAGCACTTAGGGCTAAAGCTAAATCAAGGTATATCTTTCTTCCCCAATTGGATAAGATATAGAGCGCACGCACTCACGCAGTCGTAGCTATCGCTCTGATTCGTCCCCTTCCTTCTTCAATCTCTCTCTCTCTCTCTCTCTCTCTCCCCTACCTATATCCGTATCTATCTATTGCTACGATTCGTTTTGTAGTCCAGGTCTGTTTCTATTGATCCACTGTTGAATGAATCTAGGGTTTTGGGTTCAATAGCATCAAGTTTAATTTTTATTATTAGTCCGTATATTAGTATACATGTACATATATTACTTCTGTTGATCGTGGTGGAAGTAGGGTTTTGAATCAGTTTGCCTGCTTTAATACCCAAAAATGTCGATTCTTTTATGCGAGATCACGATCAGTGATTTCTGAATGTTTTGTCATTTGTTTATACCCATTTTCCAGCATGGCTTTATGGAGGAACTTGTGTTAATTTCAATCTGTTGAATTTGAATACTTCTGATAATTAAATAAATTGGGAATTTTTCAGGGTCATTAGAAATGGCAGAGCCTTCAAAAGTCATTCACGTCCGTAATGTGGGGCATGAAATTAGTGAGGTGCGACCCAACTTTCAGTCTCCTAATAGATATAATGTGCATGGTGTTTTGAGCTATTCTGGTTTACTGACGGGAGACTTCCAGTTCATTGTTATTTGTTCCGTTTGTTATCCTATTAGCTTGAATAATATTTAATTTTAAACGATGGATATAAATTATTATTATTTATTTGTCTACAATGTAGTGTGTTTTTTTCCTTAATTTGGGAAAATAACTGGTTTTTCAAAAGGGGGTAACATGACTAAATTTGCATCATTATCTTGCCTATCATTCTGTCGAATTGATTTCTTTTGCAGCTGTTGTCAGCATTTAAATTCTTAAGTGTTTTTTTTAATCAAATTCATGTGTAAAAAGCATGCTCGAAGTCATAAAAAGCATTTTATTATTATGTCACAATGGGATCGTAAGTAACATTTGCTTGGTTGACATCTTAATACTTGAAGTCCTTAATACGAAAGTGGATGCTATATTTCCAAGAACCAGAGGACAAGAGAAGTAATCTTCAAGAATGAAGATATTAGATTGGAACACTTCTTTACTGAAATGGGATACAAAAGCTTCAATAATGCCTGGGAATGGACACAACAATGGCTTAACTCAAGGAGGGCTTCATGTACATGCATGGACACGACTATACGTCATATTTATGACAAAAAACTTTAAAAAGATCAAAGGGTAATTCTGTATATGAATTGGGTGCCGTAATTGGTTTGAGTATAATGTCTGCACTCAAAGATTTGTTTTGGGTGCATTTGCATGTCTGTGGTCTTGCCTGCATTATCGCTTTCTTTTGCTTTGCTCCATGAATTTATCTATGTAGACATTCTACCTTGTTTTTCCAGAATGATTTGCTTCAGCTGTTCCAGCCATTTGGGGTCATTACCAAGCTTGTGATGCTTCGTGCAAAAAATCAGGTATTTTTTTTTTTGGCCGAATAACAGAGATCCATAACTGCTTTACTCATGGAACTTAAAAATTTGGGGTATGTATGCTTTTGTATAGGCACTCCTCCAAATGCAGGATGTTCATTCAGCAATTAATGCATTGCAGTTCTACACAAATGTGCAGCCTAGCATAAGGTATATCTAATTGATTTCTAACATTCTTTGGGAACTCTGGATTGAGTGTCGATTGGAACTTTTCTTCATTTGTATCACACATTTGATTGATATCTATAATTTCTGATTGTTGGCTACAGGGGAAGGAATGTTTATGTTCAATTTTCATCGCATCAAGAATTAACAACCATGGAACAGAATACTCAAGGACGAGAAGATGAGGTTAGTACTCTGTAGTTCAAAGGGTGTACCCTAGAAATTTGTTGTTATGGGTATTTATCGAAAAGTTGCATTTGGAAGCCTTTCTTCTGCTAATAATGGCTTAAAAATTTAGTTTCAACATCAGGTTTCATAACTTTTTAAACCACAGCTAGAAGAATGACTGAATGGTTGTTTAGGTGTTTTTCCTGTTTATTCTTTTGGAAAAAAAAGAAGAAGCAAGAGCATGAGCCAGAGAAGCATTGATCTTATTTCCATGTGCTCATAATGATTCAAAATATAAATGTCAAGGGTCTACATCAAACTTATCTATGCCAACTGAGGTGGAATGTGTGCAGAAGAAGAAAAAAAAATATAACATTTTAGAAGGAGCAGTCCTTGTAGCTGCGCCATTACGCTTTTGGTTGAGTTCAATTCTTATTTGATGTTAATTTAGGGTTAGTAAGCTGCTGAAAATATTGTTGTTTATGTTCTTAGCTTTTGCGGCAAGAGCAATTTGGTGTTTTCAGTAATATCTGGAATGGGCTGTAATTTTGGTCCATGGGTGATATTTTGTATCTATTTGTGGTGTTTACTTTGTATTTGGAGTCCAAAACTTGTCAAGAATAGTATGGATTCAAAAAGTCAATTACATTCCAAATTGTGGATACATAGGCCTAGAAAAGATAATCAGGATAGCTTCCAGAAAAAAAATGATAAGGAAGATTGAGTTGCATAGGGTAACTTGTTTGTGAAGCTGATTGAAGTTTTAATGCTTTATGCATCCTTAGGGGATGTTCCTAGGAGGTCTAGGTCCAATTCTTTTTCGTTATTTCTCTTTTTTTCTTTTTACACTTTTATCCTGCAACCAAATCTCTAGACTATAGTTTTTTCAACCCCTGAAAGCCCCAACATTTTTCATTGTCAAAGACTTTATTTTAGCAACCAAAACCAACAAAAAAACAACTGTTACTGGTAGCACTACTGTTGACAATCCTGAATTCTTTTGAGCTCTTGCATGATGACGTGAATGGAAAATGCTTTGCATGTTTGAGGGTTTTGAATCACTTAGTGATACAGGGAATAATCTTGAATTTGGTGAATAATTATGAGTATGTGCTGGGCCAGTTATAGTATTCTAAATGTTTATTTCTATTTTATGTCCTGCATTTTTATGGTGGATTGTTTCTTTATGTTCTTGGGAATCAGATTCAAAGGTCACAAGACTAAAGGCAGTGTCACATGTGTGAATTGCCAAATAACTTAGAGTTTGAACTATAATGTGCTCTCTCACTTAACTTTCTGTTGCATTCTATTTCTTTTGCTTCAGACATTTTTCTTTTTTTGATCTTTCCCTATGCTTGCTCGGTAAATTATGAGTTCATATCGCTGATAAAAAATGTTATGAGTTCATGTGATACCTTATATTTCTGCAATTTTTTCTCCTTTTCTCTATGCTGTTCTTCTATATTCATTCTCTTCTCTTCTCTCTCTTCGGTTCTATGCTGGTCTGCTGTTTGGCACTCTCTGGATCACAGCCTAATCGAATTCTCTTAGTTACAATACATCACATGCTATATCCTATAACCGTGGAAGTGCTGCATCAAGTGTTTTCTCCTCATGGATTTGTGGAGAAGATCGTCACGTTTCAGAAGTCAGCTGGTCAGCTTCTTCAAGTTTTCTCTCTCTCCTCTCTCTTTCTCAGTTTTTTTTAATTTCACCTCTCATTTGGCATGTCAAATCAGCGAGATGGGTTTTACATTCGTTTGTTATGATCCTTTATTTTTCCAAATGTTTTCTGCACCTTCATATTTTCTTCATGTTATGTGGGAAATGCTTTATGAAGGTAACTGTGACCTTTTAATATAAACCTTTTCTACAGTCTTTACAGCTTTGGTTACCCTGTATGTGCTAATTTTGTAGGCTTTCAAGCTCTTATTCAGTATCAATTACGTCAGAGTGCTGTTGCTGCTAGAAACTCACTTCAGGTATTTTGTTTTTGTTGTGTTCCACAAAGTTCCTTCAAGTGGAGGTGTTGTTTCTAGCTTCCTTACCGGTTTGGCTTATTAGACGTTTTAAAGAGTTGGCATGTTCTCTATAGGGGCGTAATATATATGATGGTTGCTGTCAGCTGGACATTCAGTTTTCAAAGTCGGTTTCAACCATTTTGTTTTTAATTATTGTGTTTCCATATTTGTCCCATTACCATCCTTGGTATTGTACTTATCATTAGTTTTTGTGATCCAGCCTTGATGAGTTGCAAGTGAACTTCAATAATGAGCGGTCAAGGTGGGATGATAGCTTCATGATTTCTTTGCTTACACGCATGACTTACAGTTTTCTTTGTACTTAATAAAGTCTTATCTGATCTATAACTTTAGAGTTTCCTTTGTGATTTCATTTAAGTACCTCGGCATTGACGATGCTGCTCTATTTGTTGTCCTCTGTATAGGGATTTCACAAACCCATCTCTGCCTTCAGAGCAGAAGGGCAAATCCTCGCAAGTATGTTTCGGTTTCAACTTTCTCTCTCTTAAAATTGTGTGAGTGAGTTTATGATACATTGTTCCTTGTGCTTTCTGACACTGACTTGAATTCTTCGATAACGTACTAGCCTGCATATGGAGATGTGTACGCTCTTCAAGCTTCTGGAGCCAGAGCAGGTGCTTACTCTAGCATTTACATAATTATTCTACTCTGTTTGCTTGTAGACAGTTTTGGGCTATTCAACTTCTTTCTGACCTATTTTCTCTTTTCTCTTTTTGTTATTTTTGGACTTTCAGTTGGATTTCCACAGGTGGGTATGGCTCTGATTGTGTTGTGGGCCCCATGTGAGATCTCTCTTTCAGAGCTGGGATATTCATCTCAGCCAGCATTCTTGAGGGAATATTTAGATGTCTATTTGTCGACCTCTCGTTACAAGATCTGCCATTAACAGTGAAATTCGGGCACAATGATTGTCTAACTGGTGCTATTCATAATATCCTATCTCTTGATCTCATGGTCTTCATCTGGCCTTTTTTATAATAAACCATGGAGATTTGATGAAGAGTATGATGGGCCTGGGGTTTTTAGGTTCATATCTATTATTGGGGAGGGACCAAACTATAACTAGGAGATTTCTAGTATATTGGGCTTCTTTAATGGTTGCCACTGATCAGAGGCTATTATTTAGCTTCATGTATGCAGAATTTCTCTTTTCATCACTACATATTACAATTTACTTGAAGGGAAAAACCTTTTCTTGACCTTCTGTACAAGTATATATGTGTTATGTATAATTATATATTCACATGCATGTATATTTTGAGGACAGTTGCCACTAAAAGATGTAACCCAATTTTCTTTTGTTTCCCTAAATGAATTCTAGATGGGTAATGCTGCTGCCATTGCAGCTGCCTTTGGAGGTGGTTTGCCTCCTGGAATAAGCGGGACAAATGATAGGTGCACGGTTCTTGTATCCAATCTAAATCCTGATGTGAGCCTTTCTCTCTCCTTCTCTCTTTCACCCCTTGAATTCCTTTTGTGTTTGGCTTTTCTCTGTTGCGTTCTTTGGAAAGCTGGAGCTCATTCTCTAACCACTGTTTTGGTTCTCTCCACCCTTCATTGTGGTAACTCTTCTTCATCCCAGAGCATAGATGAGGACAAGCTGTTTAACCTGTTCTCCATCTACGGAAACATTGTGAGAATTAAACTTCTCCGGAATAAACCAGATCATGCACTGGTTCAGATGGGTGATGGGTTCCAGGCTGAATTGGCAGTACACTTTTTGAAGGTCTGATTCCTACAATCTCCTGAAGATGCTTTTTGTTTGAGTTTATTGTTGTTAGTGATGTTTGTTTCTGTGAGGTATTGCTTTTGGTTTCCCATTAAATAGTGTTGGCAAATGACTGTATGCAATGGAGTTTCGGCATTGAAAATATGTCCCTATGACACTAACACTCACTGTTTCTTTATGTTGGTCTTAGTTGTTTTTATCCAATTAGTATTTCCCACTATCTCATGTCCTTGGTTGTTATTTGTTGTTTTATTTTTTCCGTTTAGAATATGAACATCATCTTCACTTACTTGAGGCTGTCAATTTCTACAAAAAAGGTGTTTTTCATCTTTTGCCCTCCAAATGTGTATATACATGAGAGGTCTTTTTTGTGAGCTTCAAGAACGAGTCTTTCTGATCCAGTTTGAGAATCAGTCTTCTTTGTATAGTTTTGGGCAATGCCTTTTATTATCTTTTAAGTTCCTATGGAATTTAGGCTCATGTGAAGGTTTATATTGTTGGTGCTACTCATTAAATTTTAGGATATAGACCAGCTGGGTCTAGCCTGGTTGGCCACCCTTGATTCTCTCAAAACTAAGTTTTAGACTATATGTTGTTATCCTTTGATCAGCCAATAATGCCTTTAGGCTGGGTGTGGGAGAGGTAACTGATAAGTAGGTTTACCCTCAATTTGGAGAGGCCAACTCCTGCATTTGAACCTATCCCAATTCTCTAGTAGGCAACCTTCCGCTTTTTTGAATTATAGCACGATTTGCATTTTTAGTAACATCTTGTTGCTTCTTTTGCATGACTAAGTTTTTGGGCTTTTAATTCTTTCTAGCTCCTTCTTTTGGACGTTACTACATTTGATAAAGATTTATTAATGCATAACTGCATTCTTGGACCTCTGTTGTTTTATCCTGTTAGGTCTCAAGTGTTGATTTGCATTTTTCCCGTTCTGTCAAAAATCATGATCTGGTTTTGCTATCCTCCCAAAAAAGTCAAATTACAATTATGACACATATTAGTCAACTGTTGTTTGAAGTTTGAACCCTTTGAAGCCATTCCATGTAAGTTAATTAATAATATATTCCACAAGGCAAGATGATTTTCAGTTCGTGGGAAGTGTGAATCATTAGTCAAGCCCATATGAACATGATGACTGAGAATCATGGTAAAACTCTATGGACATATTATGGTGATTGGTATAGCATATTGTCAAAGTAAGTTTCACATAGTCGATTCTAAGTTGTTCATATGCTGGTTTTGCTAAAGTTGTTTGACTTAAGACTTTTGGACAATTTAAACATGTATAGCTTCTATTGTTGTAAACTTTTTGTACTCAAGGGGTAGTGGCACTTAATCCAGCTCGAATTTGGAATACAGGGAGCTATGCTGTTTGGGAAGCGCTTGGAGGTGAATTTTTCAAAGCATCCAAACATTACGACGGGTGCTGATACGCATGATTATTCAAACTCGAATCTCAACCGTTTTAACCGTAATGCTGCAAAAAATTACCGATACTGTTGCTCCCCAACGAAGATGATCCATCTATCCACTCTACCACAGGATGTGATTGAGGAAGAGATTGTGGTGCATTTGGAAGAACATGGCACCCTTGTGAGTACCAAGCTCTTTGAAATGAATGGAAAGAAGCAAGCTCTTGTCCTGTTTGAAAGTGAGGAGCAGGCTACTGAAGCCCTTGTATGCAAGCATGCCACGTCCCTCGGTGGTTCAACTATTAGAATTTCATTTTCTCAGTTACAGACTATTTGAGGACCCTTGTGCAGGACGAGCAAAGGGTTGTGAACAAAAAGATGTTTATGTCCAGTGACTTGCTTTTTAACTGCCATATTTGTTGTACCAGATGTTTGATTGTGCCCTAAGTGGAGGAATCCTATTTGTTTTTGTACTATTATTTTCCTTCTCATACTTTTTTGATTCGTCAATTTTTTTATGTTATTAACAACAGGGGGAAGATTTGGGGGACCTACAAGTTTTGTAGAATAGACAGTTGTTACTGAAATATGCTTCTTATTTTAATTGTATATAGTTGTAGCCCTGCTTGGGCAATTCTGTTTTTGTTGCCAATTCATATATGTCATTCTACCATCCTGTTGGTTTGCTGCTTTATGTTTCTTCCTCTCTCTCTCTCTTCTTCTTCCTCTCTCTGTTCTTGTGCGTCTCTGTCAAGCAAGCGGTTGACTGTGGGTTTCTACAGTGTTGGCAATATAGTCTGTTGGGATTGTCTATGGATTATTAGCAATTGCTTTAATTTGGCAGCCTACCTGGAGAGCCTCGCATGGTACCCAGCTATGATTTGTTGAAGTTTTATCTTTAGGTTATGTTACAACTTACAACCAAAATCACTCTCCTATACCTTCACAATCGCTAACAAGGCAAATACTTATAGGCTTCTTTTTAGAGCCAAGCCTTCTTCCCAGTGTGCTGGGTCATATGTGTGGGAGATATCTTCATTGCAATGGCGAGAAGAATGCACGACTTCTGGAAGTTAGTTTCCATTTGTCAAGTATGACGTAATGTTGCTGTTAGCGTATGCGTTATTTGTGCCAGGTTGAGAGCAATTTGTATATGTCAAATTAAGCAATGGATGCTGTGGGAGTGTAGGAGGCTCAAAATCGAGCAGGAAATTTACAAAGGTTAGTTTGATTACTTTATATATAGCTGCTCCATGTATTAGCTTTTGACTTGGTAATATTTCTTTATGTTAGTTGGTTACTCTATGTATAGCTGCCCCCTCTATTAGCTTTTGATATGGTAATATTTGTCTCTATGAGAATTTGCTAGCACTTTTCTGCAATAGAGACAGCAGGGCTGTCGGGTTTAGAAATGATTTTGCAAGATCAATCATGCTTGTTGAATGGAAGTTTTCAGTCACTATGGTTGCTTCCTTTGTTGATTGTTTAACTGGGATGCTTGCCTTTATGCACTGTTTGTACTTTGTATTAGAGGTTAGGCTTATTTTCTGCTAATCTGATTAATATTTCATTTAATGACATTATCTAAGCTATGGTTCTTAATGACGTGTGCTGATGGGTCTTCGGGTGTTTATTGTTGCTAGGCCTCCAATACAAGATAAAAGCGTCAATAATTATTTATCTTTGTGGTCATCACTAGGGGAAGTCTTGACGTTGGTGATGGTGAAGTTCCAAAGTATGGAGAGTCAACAAGTATGCCCATTTTAAGAATAATGGAAATTTTAACTTCATGGACCCCCAGATACTAAAGGTAATCTCGGTGGTTTTGGCAATGTTTGGACGCCTCTTGACGTAACCCTTATTAATGCTGTTACATGTAAAATGTCATTTATGGAAAACTGGATTTTGAAAGTTAATGCTCATAATAGTAGTCATATTACTTGAAGTTGATCTGTAGAATGAATTAGACGAGACTTGGATTAGGACAACAGTAATCGAAGAAATGGCTCGTTAATTGCTTAGAACAGTAGCCTTATCATTGGACTTTGATCCGTAGGTTGACTTAGAGAAGACAGGGATTAGGACATAATGAGTAGAACTTACTCGATTCTTTCTTTTGATTTTACGTTTGTCCTGAATTCTAAATTATAAGTTGGTTTTAATTTTATCATGTGGCAGTTGGTACTTTTTGATTGCATCCATTTTAATCAAGTTGCTTCTAGTTTGTGCTTTGTTTGTTATATTGAATGTGTTGATTTTCCCCTATATGACTATATTAAAGCATGTCTTAGGTTGTTGGAATGGTGATGGGGAAAAGGTCATGTGTAGAGACATGCAGTCATCTATTATGGACTGACAATGGAATCTTTACAGGGCTTACAGTCACTATGTGACTAAGTAGCCTCTTTTGAGCTGTATGTCAAAGTGGGAAAATACAAGGTAATATTTTTTCGATAAACTGTAGGATATACTTACATTCTTACTAAAGCATTGGGCAGAGTAAAATTGTCTACATAAAACAGAACTTACATCAGGAGGACTCGTGAGCCCAAAAACATCACTTAAAGAAAAATGTTGAAGGAATTGAATGTCATAGCCCTATTCCTATCATAAAGAATTGTTCTTACCTTAACGAACTTAACTTAAATCAACTCAGTGTTGTCCTTACATTTTTTGGAGTCGGGTACATGAATTCTACTTCGTCATTGTACTTTATTAAGGGTCACCCTTTCTGTTAAACCATGAACTACCATGTCTTTTTTACTATATTATTTAAAGTTAATTTTGATCTTCTTTTACCATTTCGATTACCGTCAATAGCTATCACATCACTCTTTCTCACTGGTGCAGTACTTACTTTATCTCCTATATGTGCTTTCACGGATTTTCTCATTTCTAATTTTGTCTTACCTAGCCTAAAATGATTTTTTACCAAACTTCAGCATACACTTGACATTTGACTGAATAATTAGGCAGACTAAATTTTCTGCATAAGACAGAACTTACTTCAGGAGGATTCAGTGAACCATAAACATCCCTTGAAGAAAAAATTAAAGGGAGTTTGAATGTCATAGTTATATCATGAGGCATTGGTTTTATCTTAACCTTTGATTGCTGTGGGCTGGAAAGTCACAATTCTGCTTAAATTAAGCTTGTT